CTCCACTTTGAGCACAGCCTGGCAGATTCTTTTTCTTTAATAAAGCTTGATTGGTACCCAGCATTTTGGCTCATTTTCTTTCAATGTTAATTTATTTTGCTATAATGATGTTAAATATATTAAATTTATAATTTAAGAGAATGTGCAATATATATGTGTATCATCACCTTTGCCTACTTTTAAAATGACCCTTTCCTCAAAGTAATATACATTTTTTATGGAAAATTTAGAAAATAAAAATAAGCAAAAATAATAATAATAATAATGGTTATGTTACCATCCAGTGATAACTCTTTGCAATATATTCTTTTATGTATGTGCCTATCTTTATTATTTATAAAATGATATATTTTATTTTATACTATCTGGAAATTTGCTTTTTTCACTTAAATATGCTGTGAATCTTTTCCTTTTATTAAATATTCTACAGCATCATTTTTTTATAGCTGTGTAACATTCACTTTTATGGATATATCAAAATGTATTTATTAATTTTCTTAGTTTTTAGGTTGTTCTCAATTTTTAAATAGCATATGCGACTATTCAATAAACAACTTAATGCCTAAATCTTTACACATAACCATATTTCCTATACATTCTAGAAGAGGAATTTGTAAGTCAAAGACTGAATATTTGTCTTAATCCATTTTGTGTTACTATACACACACACACACACACACAAGACTGGGTAATTTACAAGGAAAAGAAGTTTATTTGGCTCAGAGTTCTGGTGGCTAGAAAGTTCAAAATTGGGCAGCTGACTTGGTGAAGGATTCATGCTGCTTCAACTCATGGTATAAAGCAGAAAGAGTAAGTGGGCATGTACAAAAACTATGAGTGAGGACATGTGGTATTTCTTTTCTGTTCCTGACTTATTTCACTTAATGTAATTTTCTCTAAGTTCATCTTGCTACAAATGGCAGTATTTCATTCTTTCTATGGCAGAGTAGTAATCCATTATGTATATATGCCACATTTTCCTAAATATCCATGGACATCTAGGTAGGTTCCAACTCTTGGCTACTGTAAATAGAGCTGTGATGAACATGTGAGTGTGGGTATCCCTTCAACGTGATGATTTCCATTCCTTTGGGTATATACCCAGTGAAGGGATTCCTTGTTCATATGGCAGTTCTATTTATAGCAGTTTGTGGAAATTCCACACTGTTTTCCATAAGGGCTGCACTAATTTACAGTCCTGCCAACAGTGTAGAAGGGTTCCCTTTTCTCTGCATCTTCTCCAGCATTTGTTATTCTTTGTCTTTTTGGTAATAGCCAGTCTAACTGGGGTGAGGTGATAACTCAGTGTGTTTTTGATTTTCATTTTTCTGAAGCTTATTAATGTTGCTTTAATATGCCATAATTTTCATATTTTCATGTCTAAAAGAGTATTACGATAGGTTGTACTTTCAAAAATATTAGTTTGATACCTGTATGGACTAATTGCCTGAATAAAAGATTAAAAGCAATTAAATTTTATTTTTTTCTTATGTTTTTTTCTATGTATAATGTCTTTATCACACATTTAATTTGAAAGATAGCTAGCTGGGCACAGAATTATTATTACTATTCTCTGCCATTCAATTTCTTTTTCTTATTATTGATTATGCATATTAATGTGATACAAAGCTGGCAGTTACCACCTGTACCCAAGAAGTGATGACCAGATCATTCATCATGGATGAATGTTGAAAAACTTATGTCGTTGGGCCAGCCCGGTGGAGCACTGCTACAGTGCGCTGCTTGGGAAGCACGGCAGCACTCCCGCCGAGGGTTTGGATCCCATATACAGACCGGCTGCTCACTGGCTGAGCGAGATGCGGGAGCAACACCGAGGGTTGCGATCCCGTTACCGGTCTCGGTCCGGTACGGGCGCGACACTGAGGGTTGCGATCCGTTGCCGATCACGAAAAAAGACAAAAAAAAAGGGGGGGGGGGAAGAAAAGAAAAACTTATGTCAAGTTAAATAAACAAAACACAGAGGGATAAATACAGCATGTGCTCACTCATATGTGGGAGCTACGAGAGAAAGGAAGGAAGGAAAGAAAAACCACAGTAGTGCAGTGGTCTTCAGAGGGAGGGAGAATTTCTAGGTCTGCAAAGTGGAGGGGGCAGGGGAGGATAGTTGGGGGAAAATTGTGTAGGGACACGGGATATAAAAGCAGTTTCTGGTAACTTGTATCTCATGAATATTTGTAGTAATAAAAAATTAAAATAAAAAAAGAGTTCCCAGCTCCATTTTACCTGGCCTTTTGCAACCTAAGATCATAGGATTTTTGTGGAAGTCTCTAGAAAACAATTGTAAAACATTCTTTCACAGCATACCATCTAGTTACACCTCAGGCACAAAGTCCTACATCGCTGGCTTGATTCTTCAGACTTTATTAAACAATTTAGAACAAATGGATATTGATTAGTGACTAATGTTTATTGAGTACTTACAGTGTGCTGGATACTGTGCTAAGCGACTTACATGGATTATCTAATTTAGTTGTCAGAAAAATTCTGTTAGATAGGTTCTAATATTATCACAGATGACGGAACCAAGTCATGGCAAGTTTAACTACTTTGTCCAAGGTCACATAGTTAATAAATGAATAGGCCAAAATTCAAACTCAGGTAGTGGAGTCATTGACTTCACAGCTCTGCCTCCCATTTGAGTGGCTCCTTCATACTTTTTGGTAACCTTTAATTTTGATATAATTAAAATTGACAAAAAAATTATGAGAATGCTACAAAGGAGTCCCATATTGCCTTTATTCATGTTTTCCAATTTTGACATTTTGTTTTATTGATCATTTATTCTCTCTCCCACACACAGACAATTTTCTTCTAAACTTTTTGAAAATAAGTTGCATACATGGTGCCCATTTCCCCCTAAATACTTTAACATGTATTTCCTAAGAACAATGACATTTTCTTAGATAGCCATTGTACAATATCAAAATCAGAATGCTTAGTATTGATTTAATACTATTTTCTAATTCCCAGTCCATATTAAACTTCACCAGTTGTCTCACTGATGCTCTTTATAGCCACAACCACCACTTCCCCCCTGTTCTCAGTCTAGAATTCAACTCAGGTCATACACTACATTTAGTTGTTATGTCTCTTAATTCTCTCTTAATTTGAAACAGTTTCTCAGCCTGTTTTTGTCTTCCGTGACCTCAATATTTTTGAAGAGTACAAGACAGCAATTTTTGTAGAATGCCCCTCACTTTGAGTTTGGCATGGTGTCATGAGTAGAATCAGATTGTGTATTTTGGTCCGTAATACCAAGGGGTGATGCTGGGTTCTTAGTGCATCAAATCAGAGACACCTTGATGTCAGTTTGTCTCATTATTGGTGATGTTAACTTTGATCACTTGGTTGAGGTAGTGTCCTGCAAGTATCCTGACTCTTAAGTTCCTATTTTCCCTTTGTAATTAATAAGTAAATCGTAGGGAGATACTTTGAGTCCATGTAGATACTCTGTTTCTCAAAATTGTATCTATTAATTTTAGCATAAATATTACTATGATAGTTGTACAATAGTGATTTTCTAGTTACATAATTTTTCTACATTTTTAGTTTGCATTCTATTACAAGGTAGAGCTTTTTCTTCTTCCCTGGTTATTGATTTATTCATTTATTTATATCAGTATGGAACCATGGATTTTTATTTTACTCAAACGTTTATAATTTATTAGTAGAATGTGGCCATTGATAGACATATTTTCATTACTTTTGAGCATTTACTTTTGGCATAATACGATGTTGCAGTCTCAATTTGTACTTTGCCTGCTCTAGCACTGAAATCAGGCATTGCTACAAAAAGCTTGATTTCCCCTTTTTCTCTTTGCTTTAGTTTTACCTGACCCAATGTATATTTAAAAATCCAAGCTTTTAGGAAGTCTTAATATAGATACTCAGAAGGAAGCTAACTATAGGGATAGTATTCAAAATTGTTACTAATTCTTCTAAACTATCTTTTATTTAAATGTACTGTGTTCTTTTCTTTTCCCACTCTTATGCTGATATCCTAAAATATTTATGTGTAATGGGAACCATTCCAATAAAGTATGATTAAAATTTAGGTTCCATACAACAGAGTTGGCTAACCATTGCAATATTCAGGTAGCTAGTGGTAATGAAATGTGTATCTCATTGCAGGTCATTACCAGTCACATCTGGGGCTTTGGCTTCCAAATATGCCCACCAATATGTTGCTTTGCCCTCCATGGATTTGTCACCCCACCTCCCCTGGGTGATGGAGCCATAAAAAATTACTCAGAGCCCATCTCTACTGAGGAGTGAGAAGCCCCAAAGTGGTTAACTTCCCCAGAACCCTCAAGTAAGAGGCATCCCTTCCTTGGGAAATTAACCCCAAATTGGGGTTCTCTTCCTGCATTTATTTTTCAGACCAGGAAGTTGCAGGAAGAGAACATAGATGTGGTTATAGTTTAACAATATAGGCTGGTAACTTTCAGTGAAACAAGTCTGATGACATTCCATTGGACAATTAAGTGATCCACCAACAAAAGCTTGATTTAGCAAACATTCCTTCTTTTTCCAGCAATTTTCCAGTATCTTTACATATTAGTCAGTAACTAGATTGTCTTTGAGCCAGCAACCTGCTGTTTTAGAATTCTTTATCTTACACCAGAGACTTTATAGCCTGAGGAAAATTTCCAGTCATTTTCAAGGTCAATATTTGAAGCTGCAAGGCTTTGGAAAACCATGCCCTGTGAAGTACCTGTGTTTTATAGTATATTCCACATCAATATTTTCATATTCCTGCCAAGAAGAAGAAAGAACCCATAAGATTCTGAGATAAGATGGTGGTTGGTGGGTAAATAAAAATATTTGTGGTCAGTAAAATTTCCAGTTCTAGTTACTATTATTTCTCATACCGTTGTTAAATATTCTCAAAGGGAATTACACTAAATATGATATGAGAAAGACTAGATGTATAAAAAAGTACATATTCAACTCTCATTCCCTCTAATGGTCTTATTTAGATGAAGATACTAAAACATGTTTATGCACTTGTTGAAGACAAAAATAAAAATTTTCTCAACACTGCCTTACCTACTTTGAAAGATGAATCCAAAAAATTTGTTTCTTCTACAGACCAAGCAAGTGGAGATTATGGGTGAGCAACCTTATGGGCAATGTATTGGTGGTGAAATATAATACAGACTGCAGCTATATTAAAACACAGGGCATATCTTACTTTTCAGTGAACAAATAATGATTTTATTCAATTCCAAAATAACACTACTGACATCCTGTCAATATATTAGACATTTGAGTTTATTTCATAGTAGTGATAATGATACTGCCATCCATATAGTTGCCCAATTCCCCTTATGATTATCAAAACACACTTGCAAAATAGCTAGTTTGACCTGTATTTTGTGGCCACAGAACAGAGCAATGACAACTGTCTCATTAAAAAATATGTACAGTATTATGATTATTGAAGAAATAAGGTAGTATAACATAGCTGACTTAATATAAAATATATGTATAAAGATCAATATTTTTAAGAAAAAAAAATCAGTAGTTTTGTTACATAGTAACAATAGCCAGTTAAAAATTCTAGGGAAAAAATATTCCATTTACAAAAAACAACAAAAGTTAAATCAGCAAATACTATGAATTGAGTAAGAAATATGGATTACTTATTTGAGAAAAAATCGGTCTGAAAATTTGGGATTCTCTCTACATGCTAAAGAAAATAGGAATATAAACATGAATATCATTTTAAGTGTGTTTTATAGATTGCAAACATTTGGATGTCCTTTGGAGAGGGTTATTTGTTTAGACATCTAAGTATCAGTGATGACTATTTTGGTAGAAGGGCCAAGTGGAGAATCATTATGTCTGGTGAGGGAGATGGGAGTATTAGAAGAGGATATCTGGGAATGAAACTGTTGGAAGAGAAGCATTCCAGTGGAAGATTATTTAAGAGACAGAATATTATGAAATATCTTTTGGGAGTATTCAAAGGAAACCTGAGTGTCTGGAATATTTGGGGAGAGATAAAGTATTCAAGGGAAAGGCCATTAGAGGTGTGAGGGGGGGTATTTTAGAGCCTGAGTATTATAAAGTGAAGAAGCAAGACATTTAATCAATTGTAGGTGACAACTGAGGTGTTTAAGAAACAAGACAATGGGAAGGGCATGTTTTTTGTTTTTTGTTTTTTTTTTGAAAAGGAGGTATAAATGTAGAACATCAGTTCTGGAATTAAATTTTGCACAGATATTTCTTGCTAAAGCCATCAGCATGAAAGCCATTTATGTGGGTGATTGCCCAGAAGAGTGACATACATCTATTCACCAATGTAATCCATGAACAGAGGGGCAGAATGCTAACAATAGGCACGTCTTAGAAAAAGAGTGCACCAGAAAAGGTTTCCTCAAGCAATCAAACAGAAAGAAGTTAGTGGATCTCAGACTTTATGACATCTAGAATGTTATAATTATAATAAATGGTATTTAAACATCTGCACATTGAACCTTAGAAGCCAAATTAACAATTCAACTTTCAAGGAAACTGTACAGTCACAGATATTTGATGGTCTTCTAAAATATCAAGTCCAAAAGAATATGGAAAAACATAGTTACTTATCCAAATTTATCCTATTGAAAAATAATAATCCTATGAAAAAATTCACTTCTGCTATATCTGTACTCAAGGTCTATGTAAATTAGTAAATAATATGAAAAAAAATCCAGGAACTATTTGTCTTCTCTTCAGACTTCCCCCTTTATATGAAAAACAAATCCTTGCCCCATTCTACTTTCCCAGTCAAAATTAGTACACCAGAGTTTAGTGCCTACACCACAGAATGGAAATGGGCTGTGAGCTGTTAGTGCTGACACTGGTGGTGCCATTATACCCCTGTGTGATTTGCTACATGCTATATAGCCTCTTCAAATTAAATATATATGTGATTAAATAAGCATACATTCATTTATATATATATATATATATATATAGCATACATACATATATATAGCATACATATATATATATATAAAACATACATATGCACACATGTATATATATATATATATATACATGCACACATGTATATATATATATATATAAGATCATATTATATAAAATGACTTTATGGAGATATAATTTATGTGTCATGAAATTTGTATATTTTAAGTGGACAATTCAATGACTTGTAGTGAATTTACAACCACTATAATCCTGTATTAGAACATTTTCATCACCTTGATAAGATTCCCTCATTCCCATGTACTAATCTACTTTCTGTCTCTATTTGACTATTATGGACATTTTACATAAAATAAATGGTCTTTTCTGTCTGGCTTATGTCACTTACCATAGTATTTTCAAGGTTTATTCATGTCGTAGCATGGATCAGTACTTCAATTTTTTTATTGCCAAATAATACTTCATTGCATGCATATACTATATTTTACTTACCCACTCATCAATTAATCAACACTTTGGTTGTTTTCCAATTTTTTGCTATTATGAAAAATGCTGCTATGAATATTCATAAAAAAATCTTTGAGTGGAAATATATTTTCATTTCTCTTGGGTAGATGGATGAAAATGGAATTGTTGGAAATGAATGGAATTGAATGGAATTTTTTTGAACATTTTAAGAAACTGCCAAACTGTTTCCAAAATGTATATACCATTTCACATTCATTTCCACTAGCAATGTGTGGGAGTTCCTGTTTTTCCACATTCTCACCAACACTTGTTATTGTCTGTCCTTTTTATTGTTGCCATTCTGGATGTAATAAATATGTTTCTTTTCCCATTAAATTAAGGTGATGGAATGTTTAGCTTGTCATAATGTTTGGACATTGTATTATATAATATGTAAGCAAAATATAAGGAGATATTATTGATACATTACAGATTATTTTATCTAAATATTGCAAATCTGCTGGTATTATGTAACTGATGGATATGCTGCAGCCCATATAATTTCAGCTCTTGCAATATGTTGGATTAACATTTTCCAGTGTTGATTATTTCATAGAAAATATCCTGAAATGTCAATTCAGAGTGTACCGAGGAGTGAAGACTCAAATGACCATTGATTTGGATTTGGTCACATCAGATTTACAAGAACTAGTGACTAAGGAATCCTTTGAACAGTAAACTAAAGATATTTCGTTGGAATTAATGTTTTCTCCTTCTCAGGACAATGATCAAATCTTAACCAAAGACAAATCAGACACTCAATATAACACTCTAATGAACAGGTATGCAATCTCTTTCTTCTTTAACCGATGGGGTCCTCCACATATTTTTGAGGAAAATTTTTATATTTTTAAATTTTTTCATACTTTAGAAATCATTTTGGATAGAGTTGTGTAAAGGAATGGATATATCAACAATAGCTTGTAGAGCCTCCAAAGAGTGCTTTTGCCCAGTCTGTTCCTATCCTTCCTGAGAAGCGCAGAAACATTACTTACAATGGTGATGGGAACTTGGAAATACAGGTATATAGCTAGTTACCTCCAAATCTAGCTGGGAGGCAGCATAATTTCACGCTATGCCCATGGCTGCACAGTTCAATATTGAGTGTACACTCACTTTGAAACCTTAATTAATCAAACACTTTTTAGGGGAAAACTAAATTATGATAAACACCTTATACTGTGACATAGCTCTGATGTATGGTTTGTGTTTCTGAGAAAATATGGATATTGCTTTTCAGGCATGTGTTCTTCTGAGGTTAGAAAATTACCTGTTAGTCCAATGTGTAATATTATGATGAGAAGAACAAGATGTAATTAAGGGAACATTTCCATCACACTTTCGCTCCCAAACATTATTATTGTTTCTCATATACCACAGATGCACTCTTTGGTAATATATTTGGTGTTTCCCCCTCTGTAGTCTTCCAAAAATGAAAGTCAAACATCAGTAGTATAAAATCCCTTTTCCATCTTATATGTTAAATTAGTTCTGTCAATAGGGTGAAACCTCCTGCTTGATACAGAACCACAGGAGGAAAAAAAGATATCTTAATTTCCTGAAACTAGGAGGTTGTGTGTGCTTCTGCAGAAATACTACTTAATTTGAGCCACAGAGGCACTATTGTCAGCAAATCTCTACCCATGAAAACCCTGAGTGTCATGTGGAGTAGTGGTGTCTTCCTGAGTTTCACCCTCACCAGCAATGCTTACATTTGTCTGTTTACATGCTTTATCACTTCATATTTGTATTATTCTCTGCTACTGACCCTTATTTATTGACCAGCCCAAGGGAGAAAAAGGTCAGATGTGGGCCTTAATAGACCTTTTCATATAAATAGCTTCCTGAGAAACACACACAAAAGGATGAGCTTCCTCAGCCTCATCCCTAATTTTAATGTGGACCATTCCTTTCAACCTGTGTCAAAAGGAATTACTCTAGGCAATAAAATAATCTTCATCCTTCAGGGCACTGTATCTCCTCAGAAACTTCAGGGCACTGCTCATGGCAGCTCCATCAAATGAGATGATTTTTCTGGGTAGCTTTAGCACTAAATGCCTGAGTTAACCACCAAAGCTGAGTTCAAGTTCTAGATTGAGAAAGCTATGGGGAAGACCAAAGTCCCCCTATGTTAGTGGCTTATAAGAATTCAGTGGCATTTGGGGCTCTTAAAATCAGATTAAACAGTAATAGTTGACAATAATACCACAAATTTTCCTCACAGCACCTGATTTTCCTAATGAATAGCACCATAAAGTGAAGTCAAAAGCTGCACCACAGGGTAATGTCAAAATATGTTTTGTTTTTATTGTTGTTGGTGGTGGTGGTCACTGATAATTGACATAGGTTCCACTCCCCCAAGTCTGTGGATCTCAACTATTGATGAGATTCAGATAGAGTGATGTTTACTGGGAAGAATACAGTTATTTCAAAGCTAAGTTGTGAGTATACAGAATCTCATAGATGAAAGGACCCTGGAGGTCATTTGGATTAGCCAGCTACACTGTTGCAGTACATGGCATCTTACTCCTTTCTGATTGGAGGCAGTGAAATGATTTATCGTGTTCACCTGGCACCACATGAGCAAAAAGGCATCCTGTGAGCTGAGAACTTTCCCAGGTTGAAGAGTACCTCCTATTCAGGATTCGTAGGGAGAAGACTAACAGTTTTTTTGTTTGTTTTGTATTTTGCTTTTTTGTTTGTTTGTTTGTTTTTTTAAATTTTCCATCCTTCTTTTCTGTGCTTTTTCAGGTTGAAAATTCTGGTATGTTATTTGAAAGCAGGTCACCCTGGCTCATTTATAACCCACAAATTATGCACTAAAATCTTGTGAAGAGCTGTAGGATTTATACTCTGGAAGTGAAATATCTGTACCTGGAAAATACCATATGCTTTGTGGTTTCTTGAACAAGGACCTGCAATAATCTGTAAAAGTTCTTATGCTTTTGGTATTTTCTCAAGATTGTCCTCTGGCAGTTAGATTACCATTTTTTTCTTTCTACCCTCATCCTGCTTGGAAGAAGAGCTTGTTGATTCCCCACCCTTCCATTTCTTACTTAAGGTACAATATGTGCACACACTGCATTGCAGTTAATCTGGTGACGATAAAGTCATTGCTATCTAGGAAGAAAGTGAATTATGACCTGGCTCATGTCAGTGAGATAAGCCTATCAATTTATTTTTGAGATTTTACTGCATTTATGTGTATTATTTCAAAAGAAGAATGATAAATGACAGCTGACGCTGGGGATTATATTAGGCCTGGGATTAAGAATACTTGAATTCTAACCTTGGCTTTTCCACCAATTTAGAGTATATGGTGTTTATGTCTTGGTTTTCTGAACTGGAAAATAACAAAGTCATTATATCTTTCTACCACATAGTAATAACAAAACTTATGTGTTATAATGTGGTGTTTTCCCTTGCTCTATTCACTTTAAAATAGTTATTCAGAAAGTAGCCATTGTGCAGAATTTTAACTTTAGTAATAGTTTTTCATGTGCCCGAAGTTTCTCTTCTTGATACTTTATACCTCACTATTTTTTTTTGAAAGTCTTAGGAAATTTATTCCCAGTTTTGTTTTCATCCACATACATATCATACTTCACAAAGATTAGATAATATATTAGTCTTTAGGGTACTATTATTGAAATTTTGTTTTGTTTTCCTTAATGACTAATGTATAAAGTACTCAGAAATTCTACCTCTTGCACACAAAAAAATTCTGACTCCCAAATTTGTAGTTATGAAGTATACTCATGGAATCCTTGTGAACTGTCCCATTGCCAGTTCCTAAGCAAGTTACAAAATGTGGAACTAGCCACTTCCTAATACATAGCTTCTACAATTTTCTCATTTGCTTTAGGAATTTTTACATTTTATAAATCAAAGACAAAGTTTAGAGTTATCTATGCATTATAATTAGTGTCCTTGTTATATACTATTAATTCTCTATTACAGACTTAATTACAAATACTGTTTTCCAAAAGGTTATTTGAAAGTATCCTTACACCAGCCTGTATAAGAAAAAGGCCAAATCATTGTATTCTTGCCTAAATTGGATAATCTATTTTTTTCAATCTCTATTTTTGATGGATAAAAAATAATTTATTCTTATTAGCATTTTTTGAATATTAATAATATTTTTAAATGTTTGATTTTCTCTTTGGGGAATTGTTTGTTCAGATCTTTTGCCTATCATTTAAATAATTTAAAGAAACTCAAGTATACCTCACTATTTTTTAAAAGCCTTTTCCCCCAGGGTAAGTACAGGTTAGAATTAAGGTTATTGTATTTAGAGGACCTTGTTTCTCATCCTTTCTTTTTTATGTTTTTTTTTAATCCTGTCAGTTCTGAACTTCCTACTTTGACAACAAACAAAACTGGAACATTACTCAATATGGATATCATGGCAGAGATAGATGTAAGATTCATTTTACTTTTCTTCTGTATTGTTTTTCATATACCACACAGCTGTAAGGCCCTGTATTGTACTGTGCTGATGAAGATTGCCATGATAGTAGATTATTAGCAGGAAAATTTTTAGTTAAGTGACATAGAGTGATTTAAGGCATGCCATCTGTATCCTCTCACTGTCTTACACTTTTTTTCCCCCTGCATTAATATTGACTCATTACAGAGAAGTTAATTCTAAGTTAGTAAGATTTTTTTTCAATATTTTATTACTTTGGTGTACATACAAGATATACCAGAGACCTGCTTAGTGAAGCAGAAATTCTTTTTTCACACATTTGCAAATGGCTACTGATAAAATAATTGGCAAGTTTTTCTCTCGAGTAAACTGTTTCATTTTTGGCAATTACTTCCGTTATAAATTATACAAAAAGGAATCTTATTGTATCCCTATGTATATGATTACCAACTAGAATATACAAGGGTATTTCAAAAAGTTCATGGGAAAATTTATGCTATCTTTTGATTCTATTTTTATGCAAATTTTTTGAAGGAGCCTTGTATGTTCAATTTAGTGGACTTTTACTTTAGTTGCCATGTTGAATAACAGAGCTTTTTAGAGAACTTGCTTACTGTGGCCAAGAGGATTGTGGAGAATATTTAAGAAAGTATTTTAAAAGACTTTCCAATTGGAAAATAATATAAGCTGGCCCCACCTGCCCAGAAGGCAAGAAACCACACATTGACACCACAGGTGGAAGAGGCCCCAAGCAGGCAGGAGACCAGGGCAGCCACCCGCCTAGCCCCTACTCTGCCCATGTAGAAGGCAAGACCACTGGCTACCACCACAAGGCGTCACAAAGCTTGCATGGAGGTGGTCCACAGCAGCCACTGCCACAGCTACTACTGCCACAAGAAATGCTCGCTGCATTAGGAACTTCCAAAACCACTGTGCAGTCTGCCCACCACATATTGGTCTTCACTGACACAAAGAGAGTCACTGGAGGAGCCCAGAAAAAGAATAAGAAGTTTTTCTCCTCAAAGTCCACTCCAGAGTAATAGAAAAAGCAACTACTATAACAGATGACCAAAAATCAATGTAGAGATACTAGAAATATGAAAAAAGTCAGAAAATATTACACCACTAAGGGATTTAAGTAAATAATATCTCAAGTACCGGACATTACAGAACAGGAAAACCTAGAAATGACTGAAAAGGAATTCTGAGTAACTACCTTAAGGAAATTCAATGAAATAAGAAAAGATTCTGTAAGGCAACACAATGAAACAAGAAAAAATATCCAGGATTTGAAGGAGAAAATTTACAATGATATTAGTGCCTTAAAAAAGAATGAAGCAGAACTTCTAG